TTGGTGATTCATAAAATAGAAGTAAAAAAAAAAAAAAAAACCTGTGGCTTCTGATGATATATTGAGTTTTTATGAAGTGAAACTATCGGTTTGTGCAAGAAACTGATTATTATTTACAACATTATTACCTGTAATTCAGAGCCTCATGCAAACTTTATATGTTTTAGACATGTAAAACATCCATGTTGCACATAATTTTGGGTGCTTTAGAAATAATAATATACGTTACATCATTACGTGAACTGGTGAATCAGTTTTTTTAACCAGAAGCGAAATGTCCAAAATGGAAAATAATCATATTTCCGTTTGCCTGAGGCTGTGGATTAGAGGTCATAATGAAACATCGTCTTATATTCGGGTCAATACGGTAATGTTCCGTTTCTTGCACAGACCAATCGTTTCACTTCGTAAGACCTCAGTATATCGTCAGGAGTCACAGGTACCAATTTTGTGTTACTTGATATGTTTTGTTTTTTTTAATTCTCAAAGACGGGCAGACGCTGACTTGCATTTTATGAATCACCAAAGACCACGGTTTCAGCTAAAAATGTTCTTTACTGTTCTACTGAAGATAAAAGTCACTTACTGTACATCTTGGATGGACTGAGGGTGAGTAAATTAACAACACATTTTAATTTTTGGGTGAACTATCCCTTTAACTATTCTTTTGAAGTTCTACAGATGATTTTGAGTAGAAAATAATTCAACAAAAAGCATAAAAATACAAACCATGACATCTCATCAATCTTTCTCCATTTGTAAGGCATGGAGTATAACGTACGTTAGCTGGCCAACATTCGTCTTTCTGCTGTGGTCCTGTACTCTGTGGATGGTGCGAGACCGAAGGAAATATGCCATGCTGACCTCCCCGTTCATGGTGGCTTATGGGAACCTCCTGCTGGTCTTTCAGTATATCTGGTGTTTTGAGCGCTTGAGTCCAGTGCCGGGTTTCTTTCTGAAGATGGAGGTGCCCTTCAGTGAACTGAGCAGCAAGGTAACAATTATACAATGAATTGCATTATTTTTTTTGAGATTATATATTTTCACTTTAATCAGGCCTCAACTATAAGTAGAGTTGCTGCTGTACCGCTGTATGTATATTTAAAATATGTATATTTGTATGTAATATGTATATAAAATTTAATTAGTTTTTTTTTTTTAGCAAAAACAAAAAATACAAATAATGCATGTTTTATTTTTAGCAGCTGGTGTATATTGATTCTTTCTTTATTGATTATGAATAAATATACGTATAGACTACCTGTCAAAAGTTTGGAATTAAGATTTTTTTAATGTTTTGAAAGCAGTCTCCTCTGCTCACCAAGGCTGAATTTATTTGATCAAAAATACAGTAAAAACAGTAATATGGTGAATGTTTTTACAATTTAAAACTATTTTCTATTTGAATAGAAATTTGGTGCTCAGTTATCAATTATTATTTATCAGTTTTTATTAATAATGGTTTATATTATTGTCAATTATTGCAAGGTCATTTTAGTTGTTTTACTGCTTAATATTTTTGTGAAAACCGTCATATATTTTTCTTTTTTTTTTTTTTTAGGATTCTCTGATAAATATAAAATTCAATGAACTGCGTTTGTTTGTATAAAATTCAATGAACCTGCTTTGTTTGAACTAGACTTTTTTTTTTTTGTAACATCTTATACACATCTTTACTGTCACTTTTGATCAATTTAATGCTTTTCTGATTAAAAGTATTCATTTCTTTTTTCCTTTTTATTTTTTATTTTTTAGAAATATAATATTTATATGAATGGTAGTGTATCACGGTTTCCACAAAAATATGAAGCAGCACAAGTGTTTGATAATAATCAGAAATGTTTCTTGAGCAGCAAATCAGCATCTTAGAATGATTTCTGAAGGATCATGTGACACTGAAGACTGGAGTAATGATGCTGAAAATACAGCTTTGATCACAGAAATAAATTGCGTTTTAATATATATTTAAATAGAACATAGTCATTTGAAATTGTAATAATATTTCAAAATTTTTCTGTTTTTACTGTATTTTTGAACAAATATTGGCAATCTTAGTGAGCAAAAGAGACTTTCAAAAACTTTTAAAAATCATACTGACCCCAAACTCATGAATGAAGTAGTGTATATTTTATATAAATATGTAATTTCTTTGTAGTATTTTACAGATAAATTATTAGGCATTCTACAGATCATTTATTTATTTGCAGCAATAGCTGGAAAATACACAACTATAATGCAACCCCATGACAGTTATGAATTCATAAACACACTTTTGATATAAAATGTCAGTATACCGTGATTTATTTATACATTTCAACCCATTCTAACTGTTACAAAAGTGAGTTGCTACAGTTGCTGATTTTGGCATTGTGTCTGTAGGTTTTGTGTCAGCTGAGTTTCTGGCTGCTGCTCAGACAAACTTTGATGGAACGACGAGAGAAGATGGAAGAGGAAGCAGCGCTTTGTGACGTCAAAGTAGATGAGCAGGGAAAAAGTGGGTTGTTTATTAGAATCTAAAACAAATGGTTTCCTATGTATAACGTACAGATTAAATCCTGTAATCGTCACTGTCTTAATGCATAAAAAATAACTTTCCATGTGGGTTTTAGAAGAAGAAAAAGACGAAGAGGAGGGGGGCGAGAATGACCTGATGCCTGTGATTGGGAAACTAGTGATGGCTCTGCTGGTGAAATACTGGATCTATATCTGCGGAGGAATGTTCTTCTTCGTCAGCTTCGAAGGAAAGATTGTCATGTACAAGATCGTCTACATGATGATGTTTCTGTCCTGCGTGGCTCTTTACCAGGTGCTGCATTGCTATATAACCTTATAAAGCCAGACAGGTTGTTGGGATTTTGACTTGTGGCCACATGCCTATGGAAACAAGTACAGGTCACACTACAAAAAATAAAATATATATGGAAAAGAAAAAAAATTGGGAACTATATATATTTATAAAATTTTTAATAAAATAAACTTAATTTTATACATATACAGTAGCTCGCCCAGAAATGAATGTCTGTGTGTGTGTGTGTGTGTGTGTGTGTATAAATATATAGGGATGAGACAATTCTCAATATAATATTGAACCATTCGGTATGCCAAACATCTTCCCTTGTAATAACTTGCAATGAGAAGTATTTCTAAACCTTGTATATACAGTATACAATTTTATGCAAAATATGTATAATTTATTGTAGGGGTGTGCGATAATGACAAAAAATGATATCTCGCTATTTTCTGGATTTTTTTTTATAACGATAATTAGACGATATTTTGCTGAGCATTATTGCGCTGGTATTTTGGCAAGTTTAGGACTGCTGTAGACAGCTGACTCCCAAAGCTTTTGATATTCTATGCGATGATTAGTTTGCAGGAGTACGTTTAAATTGATTTTTACCTTTTATGGGCATTTTTACCTTTACAAGGTCAATTTTTCTAACCTAATTAAATGTATGCATCATCTTTTGTGTCAAATTCTTACATTTAATCAATAAATTCAAATAGTAAGACACTAAAGCACTGTTACCAATCAAATCAGTATCAACAAAATTTGTGGTGGCACAGAAGGTGGCACAGAATCTGCATCTGAAATGGCATTTAGATGCTTTCACACAGACTGTTTAATGCAGGACATGAATGCATTTAACCTGCAGTTACAAATACATTAATAATATTTTGATGTTTTAGAAACAAAACGTTGAATACAGATATTTGAAATGATTTTTGCGGGGGAAAAAAGGGAACATAAACTTTAAATATAAACTGTGTGTGTGTGTGTGTGTGTGTGTGTATAAATATATAGGGATGAGACAATTCTCAATATAATATTGAACCATTCGGTATGCCAAACATCTTCCCTTGTAATAACTTGCAATGAGAAGTATTTCTAAACCTTGTATATACAGTATACAATTTTATGCAAAATATGTATAATTTATTGTAGGGGTGTGCGATAATGACAAAAAATGATATCTCGCTATTTTCTGGAATTTTTTTATAACGATAATTAGACGATATTTTGCTGAGCGTTATTGCGCTGGTATTTTGGCAAGTTTAGGATTGCTGTAGACAGCTGACTCCCAAAGCTTTTGATATTCTATGCGGTGATTAGTTTGCAGGAGTACGTTTAAATTGATTTTTACCTTTTATGGGCATTTTTACCTTTACAAGGTCAATTTTTCTAACCTAATTAAATGTATGCATCATCTTTTGTGTCAAATTCTTACATTTAATCAATAAATTCAAATAGTAAGACACTAAAGCACTGTTACCAATCAAATCAGTATCAACAAAATTTGTGGTGGCACAGAAGGTGGCACAGAATCTGCATCTGAAATGGCATTTAGATGCTTTCACACAGACTGTTTAATGCAGGACATGAATGCATTTAACCTGCAGTTACAAATACATTAATAATATTTTGATGTTTTAGAAACAAAACGTTGAATACAGATATTTGAAATGATTTTTGCGGGGGAAAAAAGGGAACATAAACTTTAAATATAAACCTAAAATCGTCAGTAGGTGGCGGCAAATCACTGCCTGAGTGAGTCATTGAGTCATTCATTCAACCGATTCGTTCAAACAGCTCATTGATTCAGTAACGAAACATTGTTGTGAGTCGTTCCGAGATGCAAAACAGTTCTGCTGTGGCTTTGTGAGAAACTATTTTTGTTGACGAATTAGAGCAAAAAAAAAAAAAGGAATTTGAGTCTAAAATGTAATCCAGTTAATATTAACTTGTTTATTGGACTGTTTTATAAAATTAATATCACATTTGCAATCATACTGATATTTGGAGAAAAGCGCCACTCTTCGTGTGATATTAACTATATCAGATGATAAATATAAAAGACATATAAAAGTCATACGGGGGCATATTTGCCCCCTTAGTTTATGCGTGCACTCTCTGGTGTGTTTTTGTTTGGATTTTGCAGTATACTTGATCATGTCAAATCACATATAATTTAAACAAGAATTGTGATATTATCGTAGATATATATCGCACATCCCTAATTTATTGTATTTTTTGCATAAAGTTAAGCCTATTTTATTATACATTTTATATAATTTTGTATGTGTAATATATATACATTTAATTTAGTTTTTATTATAATTCTATAGATAGAATGTACATAAATGTAATTGATATTTAATTGTATTTTTGCATTAAAAAGATGTCTATTTTATTGTAAATTTTACATATAATTGTATAAATTTAATGTGTGTGATATATATATATATATATATATATGAATGATAAATATATATATATATATATATATATATATATATATATATGAATGATAAACGATATAATGAGATATATAACCAAAAATATTATGATAAAATTGAGAAATATTAAATATAAATTATGACAGAACTTGAATTTTTGTGTGAACTTTTCCTTTAAAGGTCTTTGACAGACAGTGTTGTTCTCCTCAGGTGCATTATGAGTGGTGGCGCAGGATCCTGAAGTACTTCTGGATGTCTGTGGTGGTTTACACCATGCTTGTGCTCATCCTAATCTACACCTGTCAGTTTGAGAACGCCATCAATACCTGGTCCAGTATGACGGGCATGTCAGAAAAAGTGTGAGTTTTGAACATCCTAAATATGTTTGATCAGGTGGACTTATCACAAACCATACCGTAGTGAGCTGTTTGTTGAGTCAGCATCCTAACAGAACCTTATATTTGAGGCACAAAGCATATTGGTGTTGCCTTCGACTCTGACCAAAATAAAAGTGTTTTAAGTCATGATTCTCTGTTGCTCTCTCAGACTGGGGGACATCGGTCTGGAGAAGTACAGCCTCTCGGAGTTGTTCACCCGTATCTTCATCCCCACGTCCTTCCTGCTGGTCTGCATCCTGCACCTGCATTACTTCCACGACCGCTTCCTGCAGCTCACCGATCTCAAAGCCGTCATCAGCAAAGAGCAGAGCACCATTTACAGGTGAGAGACGCTTTCCCGCTAGTCACAGCTGATGCTACCGGGAAGTGTGGATGTGTGATGTCATTTTAGGTGAGGTCATGTGTCATAATATCTGAAATCTGATTAAACGAGTCACACAAATGCATAACTGTAACCACATCTCAAATCAACTATTTTCTTAGTGAAATAATTATAATAATAAAAAATAATTATTTTAATAATTATTATTATTATTATTGTTGTTATTTTGAGTAATAATAATTATTATTATTAAACATTAATACAAATATTTTATAATAATTGTTTGTTGATCATTATCTCTTGTGTTGCATTGCTTTAATTATGAATTGTAAACAGAAAATTAGTAGCAATTTTTTACTTGTAATAAAGGGGTTTGTTTTGTTTGTTTGTTTGTTGATCTTAATGCTTCATTTCTCACTAGCTTCTTTCATGATTGGTTTCTCTCTGTTGAATCTGCAGCAGTGTGCTGCCAATCATCATCATGCAAATCCATTTCTTATTTTAACCAATCATGTGCTCCCGTCTTTCCCCTGCCGTCCCTCACCTCACAGCTATACTAAAGTCAGTGGTCGTATCTATCTGATCGTGGATAGGTGGGTGACTGCTTGTCTTTCTCTGGCATCCATGGAAAAAACAACCAATGTTCACCTTTTCCCTGATTTCCCATAATCCCTCTTTCTTCTCACTTACTCCTGTTTGTCAGTACATTCTTTTCTCTCTTAATGATGTCACTTTTTTTAACGGCCCGCTAGAATCCTGGATAGATCAAAAAATGTATAAAGTCAATCAATGCGTCTTTTTCCACTGACTTGGTTTCCTGTCTAGAACTTAAACGTTTGCTTTAAATGTTACAGAAAGTCAACATGAAAATGCATTCAAAATTAAGTTTTATTTCCATAATCAGATGTTTTTTTTTTCCCCAATCAAAACAAATATTCAATGAGTGACCAATGTGTGTATGTAAATCAGGTCCTGATGAATAAAATAAAAAGTTGATAAAATAATTTTTTGCCCTCATTGAATATTCATTTTCATTGGGAAATGAAAGGCTGTGTCTTTATTACATTTCAAAGGCACTAAAAGGCTGCGTTAACTATTGGTAAGATTTTAGAAAGGCTGCTTTACCTTCAACAAGAGCCTAAAATATTAACTAAATAGATGTTTGACTGTTTGTTCATTTTAACTAATAACCCCCATAGGGTCAGTGACATTAGTCGATAACAGTGTTATTTTAGTATTATTTCTATACTGTTATAGCATATATTAACATTTTGAATTAGTTTTCAGTTTAATTTTCATCTATTTTCAACTTTCATCTAATATTTATTTTATTTTATTTCTAAAAATAAAGTTTTAGTTTTATTTAACAGTAACAACACTGGCCAAAAGTTATTTCAGAGGTTGTCTGCGTTATTTACTTTGATCATTTTTATACTTTTTTTTTTGTATGTTTGTTTTTGAATAACATTTATGGCCACAAATGCGTATTAAAAAACTAATTGGGGTCGGTTTTGATTTCATGTTGACTTTAAACCTCTGCCTGCTCAAATGCATCCCAGAAAGTCCTACTTGAGCCGGTATATCCTGACGATAGTCCTGCTCTCAGACTCTGACAGGGAATGAATGTCCTCAGCATGTCTCTGAAATGCACGTCCTCTCCTCCTCAAAAGAACCTCTCTGTCCCTCTTTCTCTGTCTCACCTTACAGTAATGTTCAATTGTGTGAAACTTTTCATTGCTTTGATTTCGCATATTTCCATTCTGTAAATTGCTTCAACAGCATCAAGCAAAAAATCTCTTCTCCTCAGAGCAAGTAAGTGTGGTATTTGACATGAAACCTCATCATGCAAGCGTTTAAACCCTTCATAGCAGCGAGACCATCTGGAAGAGGCCATTGCCACTAAAGTCTGACTGCTGAAATATTTGTTTGTTTTGGTTTGGTTTTTCAGTCACATGATTCACGTATGGCAGACACATGCATTGCTTCTTTACAATAATTATGCAATCCGGCTTGTTCCTTACGGATCTAATGCACACGTCATCCATGTTTTCCACCCAAACCCTGCCTGTGGAATCCTGATTCAAGGCACTAACATTTAAAGAACTGCGTTTTATAACCCAAACTGAGCAGCATGTGATGTAAGTTCAGCGAAAATATGGGTGATTCATCATTTAGAGGAACTTTTCTCTGATTTTAAAGAAAAAAATTTCTAGTTTTAATTCTAGTTTCACTGTGGTTCTTTAATTTATTCAAAATGTTATGAGTGTCAGAATGTTGAATTTGCCAGAATTTCTTTATTTTCTTTACAACCCCCCCACATTTTCTTAAGAACTTCTTGAATAAAATTTAAAATTAAATTGAATCAAATTAAATTAAATTAAATGCATTTTTTTTTAAAAATCAATAAAATAATTTACTTGGTATTCATAGGTACAGTTTGCTTTTTCATTACAAAGTTTTTTTTTTTTTAAGTTTTTTTTAATAGTGCTGTCATTACTGACATGACTCAGAACCTGCGACCCAAGAACTAACGATATCATAAGATTGAAGGAATGCATCGTCTGCCAAGAGTCTCAGAAGAAGAGAATGCATCATGAAATAAATTATTCCAGCATATGAGTGTCATATATCAACATAATTACAAAAAACACTCTAGCAAAACAGGCGCTTTCGGTGTCGACATGAACTTCATTTGCAGCCCTTTTTAACGTTCATGCGACGCATTTCTGAGCAAAACAATATTTAATGAGAAAAAACAATATTTTTTTAGTGTAGCATCAGTGATGATACAGTTAGAGCAGGAATATCAATTAAAAAAGGGTCGGTTTTGATTTCATGTTGACTTTAAACCTCTGCCTGCTCAAATGCATCCCAGAAAGTCCTACTTGAGCCGGTATATCCTGACGATAGTCCTGCTCTCAGACTCTGACAGGGAATGAATGTCCTCAGCATGTCTCTGAAATGCACGTCCTCTCCTCCTCAAAGAATCTCTCTGTCCCTGTTTCTCTGTCTCATCTTACAGTAATGTTCAGTTGTGTGAAACGTTTCATTGCTTTGATTTCGTGTATTTCCATTCTGTAAATTGCTTCAACAGCATCAAGCAAAAAATCTCTTCTCCTCAGAGCAAGTAAGTGTGGTATTTGACATGAAACCTCATCATGCAAGCGTTTAAACCCTTCATAGCAGCGAGACCATCCGGAAGAGGCCATTGCCACTAAAGTCTGACTGCTGAAATATTTGTTTGTTTTGGTTTGGTTTTTCAGTCACATGATTCACGTATGGCAGACACATGCATTGCTTCTTTACAATAATTATGCAATCCGGCTTGTTCCTTACGGATCTAATGCACACGTCACCCATGTTTTCCACCCAAACCCTGCCTGTGGAATCCTGATTCAAGGCACTAACATTTAAAGAACTGCGTTTTATAACCCAAACTGAGCAGCATGTGATGTAAGTTCAGCGAAAATATGGGTGATTCATCATTTAGAGGAACTTTTCTCTGATTTTAAAGAAAAAAATTTCTAAAATTTTAGTTTCACTGTGGTTCTTTAATTTATTCAAAATGTTATGAGTGTCAGAATGTTGAATTTGCCAGAATTTCTTTATTTTCTTTACAACCCCCCCACATTTTCTTAAGAACTTCTTGAATAAAATTTAAAATTAAATTGAATCAAATTAAATTAAATGCATTTTTTTTTTTAAATCAATAAAATAATTTACTTGGTATTCATAGGTACAATTTGCTTTTTCATTACAAAGTTTTTTTTTTTTAAGTTTTTTTTAATAGTGCTGTCATTACTGACATGCCAAGTATTTTATTACATTTTTCTAACATTTTTTCACAATGGAAAATAAAAGCAGAGTGATAGTTTGAGGAGCAGAAATGTATTTACATTTTTAGATTATTAAATTAAAAGCATATAAATATGTTTTTTTTTTTAAATAATTTATTTTTAAATAATCTCTAGCATATTGTGCTATTGCTCTCATAGCAAGCATTTTATTATTACATTTTTATAACGTTTTTTTTTCATGATGGAAATGAAAAGCAGAGTGATAGTTTGACGAGCAGATGCATTTTAATTTTTTTAATCCTTTTTAGTCTTTATTTGGTATCATTACCAAACTGGTTAGTATTTGAACATTTTTAATTAAAGAAGAAACAGTGCATTTACTTGTATTAATTCAAAACAAATGTACAGCAGACGTGTTGTATTAGCATGCAAATCCAACTTTTTGGTCATAAGATCAGATCTTTATTCCAGGACATGTGATAAATGTTTTAACTTAGATGGTGTACAGAAGTTTTTCAAGCTTTGAAGAAGTCAAAAGCGCCTCTATTTGAAGAGTCACTCATATGTCACATATATAATGTAAATTATGCTTTCTCTCCTAATGCAATCTTCCTGATCTGCAGACTGGCTCATCCTGACGGGAGTCTGGCCGATCTGACGATGAAGAGCACGTCTCCAGAGCCGCTGCTGAAGGAGGAGAATGAGAAAGAGTCCATGAACGAGGTGCTGGTTGTGGACTGTGTGGACGAGGAGAAGAAGAAAGAGTCTCTGTCCATCCATTCAGCTCATCTGTCCAGTCAGGAGGACATTCAGCAGTTCAGCTCCGCCACAGATCCTGAACTGCTCTCAGAACAGAGCTCAGGTACTGCAGTCCAGTCTAAGTCTGGTATTGGGTAGTTTCGTTTATTCATTCCAGCACAGTATATCTTTTCTATACTTATGTATGGTTTTACCTGGTCCTGTATGGATTTTATCCTGCTGTAGTCTAGTGTAGTTTACATTTATTTATCAGTTTTACACATTTCTTATTTTTTTTATTCTGTATACAGTAGTTCTAATATGTATGTGGGTCAAAGACATTAAGATGTCCGCATCAAAAGAAATTTACAAAAGTGATTTTATGTCCATAGAAAGCACATTAAATGTAAGTAAAGTGTCCACTTTTAAGGTTTCAAATAAGTTTTTGGAGGATAAAATGTCAAAATTTGGTTGAAATAATGTTACATTGTCATTCAGTGTACCACAATATTTATGTAAAAATTAAAACAACATGCTTATTCTGATGTGTGCATATTACAATATATAAAAGAATAAGGGAGCATATTACATTTTATTGTGTTTTAAATGAGTAAAAAAATTCTTACTGACAAATGGGCAAAACCTAGGATAGTGGCAAATTTAAAAAATGTAAAATTACAACTAATTAGTATTTGGGG